CGCATTTGTTGAAAACCGAACCAATTCAAAAAGAGGGCATCGGGTTTCCAGCCCAAAATATCAAAAAAGGCTGCCGTTCGTTGATGTTTGTTCCAAATTTGAACGCTTGTTTCTTGATGCTTTATCAAAAGTTTTTATGAGTCCAAACCTGCCCCTGTGGGGGTCTGAAATTGACCTGACCTAAAAAGGGGTCTGACATGGGTCAACGTGAAATCAATGATTTTTAATTATTAATTCCCCAACAGCAGAATGCTTTGGGGTCTCAGCCCACATAGCCTTCGGGGTGCTCCGGGGCACTGCTCGACCCTGCCGCCTCGTTTCGCCGGTTCCGGGAACCAGGGTTCCGAGAACCGGTTCCGGGAACCAGGGTTCGGGGCAAGGTTCCGGGAACCCAGGGTTCCGGGAACCAGGGTTCGGGGCAAGGTTCCAGGAACCCAAGGTTCCGCAAACCAGACTTTCAAGCAAGGTTCTGGGAACAATGGGTTCTGGCTACCTTTTGGGTTCCGGGACGTCAAGGTTCCGGGAAGGTTCCGGGCACACTTGGCTTTCGACAAGGTTCCGGGAACCTTACCATGGTTTCGAGCAGCCAGAGCCTGGATTGTGCCAAAGTTCTGGAATCACCGGAACACCAATTTTGAGACATCCTGCAAACCCAGAGTTTGGGGAACCAGGATTCTGGCAAGGTTCCAGCAACACTGGGTTCCGACAAGGTTCCGAGAACCACCACAGATGCGGACCCACAGTTTGGATATACTTCCTGGATTATGCCACAGGTTCCGGACAGGGACAAGGTCAGAGTTCTGGCAAGGTTCCGAGGTTCCGGAAACAACCCAGGGGTCGGATATACGCCGTGGGATGTACCAAGGTTCATGCTACGGACAGGGTCCCAGAAAACCAATTTGCAAGGAAACCAAGGTTCCAGGACCAAAAGGGCCCGGTCAACGAGCAATCGCTGACCCAGGGTTCCAATATACGCTGTGGGTTGCGCCAAGGTTCCGGAAACGAGGGTTCCAGGAAGACAAGGTTCCAGGGACACAAGGTTCCAGGAACACAAGGGATTCCGGAAATCCCCCAGCCAATCTTGGGTGCTTTGTGGCCCCTCACTGAATTCCGAATTCATGTTCGTTTGCTCAGTGGGCGCACAGCGTCGGTCGACTGACCTGTTCTGATGTTGCTGTAAAATCTTCTGTTTGAACTGTTCCGATGTCGCATCTACCAAAGCACATGCCACATCAAGCAATTAAGTTCGATGCCTTGGAACACCTAAATATTGGCAGCAAACCTGTGTGAGGCTTCTCGAAGCCAGGTAGATGATTTTTTGAAGCTAAGTGACCAAACAGCAACACACAATGAAACTTCAGACACAGTTGTGACACAACAACCAAGTATTGACATGAAACTAATTCTGGAATCATGATGGACAATTTGGCCAAAACCAACTGTTTCACCAATCACTTGCGCAAACTGACCGATGTTGTCCAAGCACGACAAGATAATCCCAAACCACACACACACACAATTTTGTAAACACTTAATGACACACCGTGGTCTGCAAATACTGCCATTCGTTTGTAACCAAATGTATGTAAATTCAACTATGCGCGCTTTCTTAAAGAACATGTCTCATCCTGCCTTTGGTCCAAAAGGGGAGGGGGCAAGGCGGGCAAAAAATCGCCGAAGAGACTTAGGCTATGGAATCCTGTTCCTGCCATCATTAATCCGTCTTGGGTTGCAAAGTTGGACCACTGTTTGAAACCAACCGCTGCCGGTTCCGGGAACCAGGGTTCCGGGCAAGGTTCCGGAACTCAGGGTTCCGGGAACCAGGGTTCGGGGCAAGGTTCCAGGTTCCGCAAACCAGACTTTCAAGCAAGGTTCTGGGAACAATGGGTTCTGGCTACCTTTTGGGTTCCGGGACGTCAAGGTTCCGGGATCCCCAGGTTCTCGGCGCCAGGAAGGTTCCGGGCACACTTGGCTTTCGACAAGGTTCCGGGAACCTTACCATGGTTTCGAGCGGTTCTGGAATCACCGGAACACCAATTTTGAAACATCCTGGAAACCCAGAGTTTGGGGAACGAGGGTTCCGGCAAGGTTCCAGCAACACTGGGTTCCGACAAGGTTCCGAGAACCACCGCGGATGCGGACCCACAGTTTGGATATACTTCCTGGATTATGCCACAGGTTCCGGACAGGGACAAGGTTGCGGAACAATTTTCAAGAAGCCCAGCCCAGGTTCCAGAGAACCAGGGTTCTGGCAAGGTTCCGAGGTTCCGGAAACAACCCAGGGGTCGGATATACGCCGTGGGTTGTACCAAGGTTCATGCTACGGACAGGGTCCCAGAAAACCAATTTTCAAGGAAACCAAGGTTCCAGGACCATATAGGCCCTGTCAACGAGCAATCGCTGACAGGGGGGGGCACAGCGTGACAATAAATCAGCGCGTCTCGGTTCCGCAAACCCAGGGTTCCAATATACGCTGTGGGTTGTGCCAAGGTTCCGGAAACGAGGGTTCCAGGAAGACAAGGTTCCAGGAACACAAGGGATTCCGGAAATCCCCCAGCCAATCTTGGGTGCTTTGTGGCGGGTTCCGCACATGCCGATTCATGTTCGTTTGCTCAGTGGGCGCACAGCGTCGGTCGACTGACCTGTTCTGATGTTGCTGTAAAATCTTCTGTTTGAACTGTTCCGATGTCGCATCTACCAAAGCACATGCCACATCAAGCAATTAAGTTCGATGCCTTGGAACACCTAAATATTGGCAGCAAACCTGTGTGAGGCTTCTCGAAGCCAGGTAGATGATTTTTTTAAAGCTAAGTGACCAAACAGCAACACACAATGAAACTTCAGACACAGTTGTGACACAACAACCAAGTATTGACATGAAACTAATTCTGGAATCATGATGGACAATTTGGCCAAAACCAACTGTTTCACCAATCACTTGCGCAAACTGACCGACGTTGTCCAAGCACGACAAGATAATCCCAAACCAACACACACACACAATTTTGTAAACACTTAATGACACACCGTGGTCTGCAAATACTGCCATTCGTT